CGGAAGAATCATGAATTTATTTTAGACCTTAGCAGAAGCATGTCCGACCTGTGTCACGAAGCTGACTTTTCGTCCGGTCTTCTATTTTATGCTGGATTTGAAACCGCCCGAAATGGACCAATTCTATTACGTGTATAATGAGGGAAGAACGGGCACGCTGAGAGTGGCAGCAATCGATATTGAAAGTTTAACATTTCTGCCACCATTTCTAATGCAATATCACGATGACGAAACAGTGGCCACCATAAGAGACAAAATAGCGCAAGTACCTATTTGTTTGATTGATTTACCAATATTTATTTGAATATTTTGAAACAACTACTAGTAATTCAGCACTATTTTACACGCAATCGACAACCATGCCATCGACTTCGGTCCTTAGGCTTTTCGCCCTCACAGTACATTAAGTTGATGTATAATTATTAATTCTGAACTCCGTGTTTTTATGTGTTTAGATATCCCAAAACTCATTTGTCGATTGCTTTTCCATTCCCAGAAATGTCCTAAAACGGATTTGAAAGGGGCGAGAGTGGGAAGGGGAGGGAAGAGGGGATTGTCCCCAAAATTTTTGCCAGTTTCTAAATTTTATTTTCTTGAGGGAACACGGATTGTTCTGCCAATGGAAGCTTGTGCTTTATTTAAGTTGAAACTTTTTGGGGATACCTCTGAGAAGCCTTTGCAATGAGCCATCATTTCTCAGATGAGTGTTTTTAGATCTTCCGTCGTACCGATCGTGAAGTCTGCCTGATGCGTCTGGTAATTGACAAAGGAACAGTGGCATCACCAACACTGGTTTTGCTTGATAACGACAATTATGCATGCTCACAAGTGATTGATGCGGACACAAATCCAACGGTAAGTTGTGAAAAGTTAAAAAGAAACGTCATCAAAGCAATAGCAAGGATTGTTGGCGACCTTTCCAGCAGTAGTTCGATCGCTTTCATGTGTTTTATGTAGCTCCAGTTAAAACCCGCACCCGAAGATATTCGGAAGTAGCTCGGGTGGCAGCACTTTCCATCGATAACCATTCGCTGGCAAGACTGTCGATGGCTTCCTTTTTCGATGGCTGCTTACAAAGAAGCTGATGGCATTAGAATATAAATTAAAAGTCAAATTCGCTTCCATACTCACCATATTTGGGAGGCTAGGGCACTTGGAAATGTTCCATGTATAGTAGGTGCCGATATAAGCTACACGCTGTAAAGCGGTCGAT